GGTGTCGAGGTAAGACATGTGCAAGCCTGTGGAGAATCTTCATGCGTTTATTAGAACCGAACCGACGACAATTGCGGGGGAGTAAAATCTCAGCAGATTAAGAGACCCTCAGGAGGATGGCAGTTTTGCATTTACGTTGCCCCTTAGAATAAAGGAGACTTGACCGGTTTGGCTCAGCAGGTAGAGCGCCGGCCCGCAGACCGAAGAGGCCCGGGTTCGGTTCCCACTAAGGACACATACCTCGTTTGCAGTTCGGCCTGGGTCCTGGTTGGGATCGTGTGGGTGGCGATCACGCTCTCACATGGGTGTTTCTTTCTTCCTCCCGCTCTGTCTGAAAATAAATGCGGGAGTGTCCTCTGGTGAGGATAAAAAAGAAAAAGAAAAAGTAAAAGAATGAGATCGATGGGTGGTGGATGAAGGAGGCGGGAGAAGGCAAAGCAAGGACATTTCTGGGATTGGATAAAGAGCAGACCTGAGAGACACTTCTACTGTGGCCGGTGCAGAATAGGTAACTAACATTTTTTATTTTTGCATTTATCTTCAGATAGAGTGGGAGGAAGAGAGAGAGAAATATCGATGTGAAAGAGACACATCGAGTGTCTGTCACCTGCACGACCCCAACAGGCACCGGGGACGAACTGCAACCGAGGTACAGTGATACCTCGGTTCTCGAACATAATTTGTTCCAGGAGGACGGTCGAGAACCAAATTGTTCGAGAACCGAAGCAATGAAACCCAATAGGAAATAATGGAAACTGGATTAATTCGTTCCAAGCCCCAGAAAATGCCTATTTACTGGCCTAATTTGTATATAATATGTAGAAAAACATAAGTCTCAACAAGAAATAAAAGTGTACAGTATGTCTAAGGGTTAAATTCAGTGTAAAGCGTGACTCTCCACAAAGCGTGACTCTCTCTCTGCACTCACAGTGATGACGCAAGCAAGGCGCGCTGGGCCGAATGAACGCCATTCGGCTCAACTCGGCTCATCTCGGAAGTTCGAGTTCCAAATATTTGTTCGGATTCCAAGACAAAAGTTTCTCGAATCTCCTGGTCGAATACCGATTTGGTCGAAATCCGAGGCGTTCGAGAACCGAGGTATCACGATCTGAACCAGGGACGCTCAGGTCTGCTGGCTGCCGCTCCAATCGCTGAGGCGAACCAGCCAGGGCTAGGTAACTAACATTTAAAGCACTTGGAGATGGTGTGCAGCAAACAAGATAACAGTGAGGAGTTCTGTGGTCCCCTGCTGTGGTCTGCCAAAGGGGATTACTCTGACATTTCAAAGGTGTGTTAGATGCCCAAAGACAATAGACAGGCTTGCTTAAGGTAGATTGACTTTTGCCAAGGAGGCTGCAGGCCTAGGACTTCCAAAAAAAAAAAAAATTAGGTTGTGCCTATTCATGTGTTTGTATATTCACATATACATATTTATTTTTATTTTTTATTTTATTTTTTTAGAGATGGAGGAAGGGAAAAGGAGAGAAAAAGATCAATGTGGGAGCAGAACATCAATTGGCTGCCTCATGCGTACCCTCCCACTGGGGATTGGCCCACAACCTGGGCATGTGACCTGACCGGGAATTGCACCGGTGACCTCTTGGTGCATGGGTTGAGACTCAGCCACTGAGCCACACCGGCTGGGCCCATTTTGATTATTTTTTATTTATTTATTTATTTTTTAATCCTCATCCGAGAACATTTTTCCATTTTTTGTTCAGACAGAGCGGGAGGGAGAGAGAGGAAGAGGAGAGAGAGAGCAACATCGATGTGAAGGGACACATTGAGTGGCTGCCACCCGCACAACCAACGAGGGCCGGGGACAAACTGCAACTGAGGTACATGCCCTTAGTGGGAACCGAACCCAGGTCTCTCTGTACCACAGGCTGACACTCCAACCGTTGAGCCAAACTGGCCAGGGCCCAGTTTGATTCTTAAAGAAGGGACCACACAGCCCTGACTGGGGCCAGGGATTGAACCTGCAACCCAGGTATGTGCCCTTGACTGAAAATCAAACCTGTGACCCTTTGGTCGTGGGCCATTGCTCTAACTACTGAGCCAAACCGGCCAGGGTTACATATTTTTTTTTTTAGAGAGAGAGGAAGGGAGAGGGAGAGAGATACAAACATCGATGAGAGAGACACATCAATTGGCTGCCTCCTACACACCCCGCACTGGGAATCAAACCGGCAACCTCTTGGGCCACGGGATGATGCTCAGCCACTGAGCCACACTGGTTGGACTACATATTGGCTCTTAAGTGGGAAATATTAGAGCAGCTGCATCATGCATTAGTGTCCTATTCCTGCTGTAACAAATTACCACTGATTTGTGACTTTAAAATTCTGGAGGTCAGAAATTCACAATGGGCTGCAGGGGTTCAAATCAAAGTATCCACAGGGCTGGCTCCAGGGAGAAGCTGTGTCTTGGCCCTTCCCAGCTTCTGGAGACTGCCTTCCTCCATGTTGGGAGCAGCCCCGCCAACCCCTGCCTCAGCTGTCACACGTCCTCTGATGCGGGCGTAGCTCTTGCTGCTTGTCCGAAGGCCCTGTGACCACCTTGGGCATCTCCAGTAACCCAGGATGGTCTCCCTGTCTGGAGAGCCTCAGTTCAGCCACAACGACCCCACTGTCATGTAAGGTAACTGCTGGCAGATTTGGATCAGGACGTGGACATCTTTGGGGGCCTTTACTCTGTCTCCCATTCCTAACAGCTGGCTTTCACTTAACAATGTGCACTGGGTGTGAGCAGGGGCAGGAGCCCCTGTGCAGATGTCTGAGCACTTGTCTCTGGAAGAGGGGCTCCCAGGCCTTTCGCCTGCTTACCGCTGTCCAGCTGTTCATAGGAGCACACTGCTCACGGCACAGGGACACATTACAGTTGGTTGGAGTGCCTGCCAGTGCCCCCAGAAGCCCCGTTCACCCCTCGCCCACCCTCAGGCTGCAGTGGCCTCTGCTGGAAACCCAGCATCACCTTCATTTTCCTGCACCGAGGCAGGAGAGCTGCTCCCTGTCTTCACTTGACACTTGTCACGTTGAAAGGTTGCATCTGCTCCAGGGCAGCTTGTGGGGGTGGGGGGTCTGTGCCTTGGTGGTAGGCCCTTGCATGGCCCTGGGCTCTCCAGGACCCCTGGCCCCACGTGGATGGCTCAGATCCCCTTGTTACACAAGCAAGGACTGGCCCAGCCCAAATCGAGTAGCACTTCACTTTATCAAGAGAACAGACCACCCAGGGACGGACGTGTGGGTCCTAATCCCCCACTAGCACTGTGCCGCCCCCTGGCGGCCACAAACATTCGGCCCGTCTGCAGTGAGCGTCCTCCCGCGTTTGTGCACAGGTTTTCCAGTCCGCCTTCCGGCCAGCCCGGCTGGGCTGCCGTCACGTGGGGAACCTACCTGACCCTGCCGGGCCACTCCAGCACTCTGATCCTCTTTAAAAAATGTTTTAATTGATTTTTTTTAGATAGGAAGGGAGAGGGAGGGAGAGAAACTGATGAGAGAGCATCAGTTGGCTGCCTCCTGCACACCCCCTACTGGGGATCAGCTGGCGACCTGGGCATGTGCCCTGACTCAGAATAGAACCGGTGACCTCTTGGTACAGGGAACAATGCTCAGTCCACCGAGTCACATCAGCGGGGCCCATCCTTCCTTTCTTTAAATTATGAGAGGACGGCCCTGGCCTATTTTGCTCAGTGGTTGGAGCATCGGCCTGCGAACCAGAGAGTCCTGGGTTCGGTTCCCGCTAGGGGCACGTACCAAAAAAAAAAAAAAAAAGAGAACGTTTGTTTAGACAGTTACAGAGGTAGTAGAAGTGAGCCGGCTGGGCTGTGGAGGCAGAAGGGCCCTTGGAGCTTAGGAGCAGAACTTCTAAGTGCCATTCCCCACTCTGGACCTACGCGCCACAAGAGCTGGTTGAGAGCAGCCCAGTGGCAGTGGCTGGCACACAGTGGGTGTTTAATAAATGGTTGAATTGATTGCCTGAGTGATGAGAATGCAGGGAGTATCTCTGTTCTAACAAGTGTGCAAGTCAGGAGGGGGCTCTCGAGTTGGTAGCTGCAGGCATCTGACAGACACTGCGGCTGTGGCACCATGGCGGTGACAGCGTGCACCAGTTTCTCAAACAGGATGCTCTAGGTCTGGCGATGCGTGCTTAAAAAATTCACTGTACCCCCAAACTTTGTCCCCTATCAGGAATAGTTTTTTAAAATCTCAGAAATCTCTTAACCATGTTCCTGCTGATAGAGATTTAGGTTGTTTGCAGGAAGACACTGGGAACGTGTACACGACTGTTTCTTGGCTGAGAGGTAGACGTGGTGTGCACGTGTTGTACGTATGCTATCGCGCATTGCGGCACGTCCACAGCGCGCCGGCGATCAGTCTGGTAGGAAAAAGTGTGTCAGGTGTTTTGTTTCTGCTCCAGGGAAACCGGAGAGGACGGCCCGCCCCTCCCCGGTCCCCGCCTCGGGTGGTCCCCCCGACCCTGTTCTGGCAGATAGAGCTCAAAGGGCCAGTTGGGAGCACACAGTGGGCGGGCGGGAGGGCAGGCACCGGCCCCGGCCCCTCCACCCGCTCCTCCTGGCCCCTCCACCCGGTCCTCCGGGCCTCCGGCCTCGGCACCCCGCCCCCGCCGCCCTCCAGGCCCCGCCCACCCGGCCCCGCCCCAGCCCGAGCCGGCGGAAGCGGAGGTCGAGTCTAAGGAGGCAGCGGCGGCGCAAGGTGAGGTCCGGCGTTGCGGTTCCTGGGGCCCGAGGGACCCGCGGCCCGCCGGCCGGCTGCGTTCAGGACGTTCTGCGGCCACCGGCAGGGCGGTCGTTTCCTGCGGCCCGAGCAGGGCGCGGCCGGGCCGGGGTCGGGTGTGCGCGCCGGCTCGCGGCCAGCCCTGGGGGACCGCGCAGGGGAGCCCGGCCGCCGGTGGGCGCAGGCGTGAGCGCCGCCCCGTGAAGGCCCGAGCCCGGCTCCTGCCGTGGCGCAGGTCCCGCCGAGCGGCCTGTTGTCAGGCGTGGGGCCCGAGGGAGCAGCCGCGCGGGGGTCTGAAATGTGCTTGTACCTTCTGGATCAGGGGCCTAAACGGGCTTCTCCGCGGGGCGTCACGTTTCCATGGGGCCCAAAGGCCCGATGATGGCGGTACCCCATATGTCTGGTAAGGCCTGGGCGGGGGTGGGGCGCTGCCGATGGGTGGCCTTTTCTTCTCTGTTCCTAACCTCACCCCTCAGGTGAGTGGAGCCCCCTGATGTCAGACCGGCGTCCTGGAGAGGGTGGGACCCAGGGGAGCAGCCAGGGCTGGAGGCCCAGGCAGGGAGGGGTCAGAATCAGCGGCTCTGGCCTCTTCCCCTCTGGCTGAGCAGGAGGAGGCTTCTGAGTCAGGGTTGGGGTGACCACACCCCGGGCTCCCAGGGAGTGGGTCCGGGCCTTGCTCACAGGCTCAGGGCAGTGAGCTGGCAGACTCTTGGCTCCCGTGGGACAGTTGGGTGACATGGCCAGTCACAGACGCCCTCGCCCCACCTTCAGTGGGCCGTGCAGGGGACTGCGTACGGGATTTTTTCTTGCCAGCTGTCACTCCTGGTGGCGGGACGGGAGCCTTTGCTGCCCCTCCCCATCCCCGACCGGGCTGCGATCCAGCTCCTGGAGGGCGGGAGAGCCCTCCTTCACGGGGCCGGCAGTGCCAGGCTCCGACAGAACACTAGTAGGGTAGACTGCTCCGGCATCGGGGGTTTTGAGTGAGGCAGAGTTCTCAGGAAGCCTGGGTTTCAGGGAGCCAGGACCTCACGTGGGGCTGAGTCACCCTGTTTGACGGGTCTTTCTAAAGGGCAGCTCAACTCCCATCGATTCCAGAGCCCAGATCCCGGCCCCGCCCCCAGGCCCGCCCCCTGCCCATCACAGCGGGCTGGCCTCACCTCCAGGCCTCAGGCTTCTTGTTCATTTGGGCTGTGGCCAGTCCCTGCTGCAGTTCTAGGGCCTGCGATCTGCTCCCGTCCCAGACCTGCTGCCAGAGGCCTCGATTTTCTTTATAATCCTCACCCACGTGTATTTTTCCATCGTTTTTTTTTTTAATAGAGTGTAAGGGAGGGAGAAAGAGAAACGTCGATATGAGAGACACATTGATGGGTTGCTTCCCACATGACTCCGACGGGGGCTGGGGACCCAGGTACGTGCCCTTGACTGGTAATTGAACCCGAGACTCTGGTCTTTGGGCTGATGCTCCAACTGCTGAGCCAAACTGGCCAAGGCGAGGCCTTGGTTTTTACCAGTCTGCCTGGTGACCTGGCTTCCCCATGGGCTGACCCAGGGTGGGGCCCTGGTCTGTGCAGAGTCCCAGGCCCCAGAAAGGGATCCTAGAAGCTCAGCCTGGAGTGCACACTCCGCCTGCTGTGTCCTGTCCTAGGCACCCATGGCTGGTGCCCCTTGGAGAACTGTTCCCTGCTGCAGGCACCTGTCCACCAGCTGCTTCAGGGCGGTGAGCCCTCAGGTCCTCGAACCTTGGGGAGGGTGGTCTCTAGCTTTGTGGCTGTTCTCAGGGGGGCAGGCAGGCAGGCAGGGTTTCCAGGGCACTACACGGATTGCAGTCCTGTGCCCCTGGCTGGGGTCTCTGGGCTGTGTCCAGGCCCACAGGCCACCCCCTCCCAACCCAAAGGAGAAGCCAGGGCTTCTGGGGGCAAGTGCAGGTCCCCACCCTCCCCAGGCAGGAGGTGCCCACACAGGTACAGGGGCCAGGTGGTGGGTGCAGCCTCTGCTGCTGCAGCCATGCCCCCAGCTCTGCGGCCCAGCTGCCTTTGCCAGGGGAGCCCGTGGGTGCAGCCTCCCCTGCCCTCCCCCATTTTTACTCCTGGCCGCTGAAGGGCACAGGTGCAGAAGAAAGGAACCGGCCGGCTCTCCGGCCTCTGAGATGCGGAGAGAAGTTGGCTCAGTGTCCTTGTCCCTCTGCCTCCACCTAGAAAACACCAGCTTCTCACCATGAGCCTCGACCTGCACTACGAGCAGCTGAGCGACAGCCGGTGGACAGAGCTCCTGCCTCTGCTGCAGCAGTCCCAGGTGGTCAGGTACCTGCAGGCCCGCTGCGGGCGGCAGCCAGCTTGGCCCGGGTGGGCGTGGCGGGCCCCAGAGCGCCTCCTTCTGGATGCACAGCGTAAACTGATTTCCACACGGGGTGAAACGTTTCTGTATTTTTTCCCCCAAACATATAAAAATGTAAATTCATTACTGGCTCAAGCCAGTGGGTGGGACTTGGTGTGGAGGCTCTGAAGGCTGGTGGGCAGAACAGCTGGCCAGGGTCTCGGCCGGCTCCTCCCTCCGGACAGGAGCGCAGCGGCTGTGTGATGCCCTGTCCCCGCCCGGACCTGTCCTGTTGTCGGGGTTCACGAGACATGAGCTGCCTGCTGCTTATTTCTTAATGGTTTGAAGTGGATGGAGGTTCACACAGGGTTCTGAAGGTGGTTGGGGGTGCCCATTGCCCTTTGCCGTGCTTCCCCGGTGCCCATATCCTGGGTCAACGTGAGGGGCCCCCCACAGCCGCCGCCACTCGATGTCACCAGCTTTCCCACCGGGCCTTCTGTCCTGGTCGCTGCAGGACCCTGCGAGGCATTTGCCACTCCTGTCTGGGATGGTCCCTCTGTCCCTCTGTCCCTCCTCGTGGTTGGCTGTCTGCCTCTTGGGTCAGCTCAGGTCTGGAGAAGGTCCCTGTGATGTCTTCTCATGGCTGAGTCACACGTTTTTGGCAAAAATACACAGAAATAATGTTTTGTATTGTGGAGTGTAGGGTCACGATGGCACCACATGGTCACCCCTAACTGTCCCCATGACCACCTGTCCAGGTGGTGCTGTCGGCTTTCCATAACAGAGTCACCGTTCTCCCTTCATGATTGGCCAACACCTGGAGACAGTGACATTCTGCACACGTCCTGTGTCTGTGCAGAGCTTTGCTTTCTGACGTGACCCCCGGGTGGGTCGTGAGGACGGTCATGGCCAGGCCTTGGCCGGACCAGGGCTTTAAACTTCTCACTCCTGGTACATCTGTCACCCGTGCTTGTTCGCGGTCCCACAGAGGTGGGCGCCCTGGTCCTGCCCACGCTCTGGTTTCCCGGTCGTCTGGCTGTGCCCTCTGGGCTTCCTTTCCGGGAGATGCAGGAGCTTGACGCACCGACCTGTGCCCCGTGAGCACACGGCACCCCGACACATCCGTGTATGTGCCACTGTCCCCACCAAAGTGTCCCACGACAGTGCACTCACTCTGTCCTGTTTAACGTGCCGTGGCTGTGACCGCCTCGCTCTGGGCCCACGGACGGGCCCTGACCTGCTGTGCTCTGCCTGTGCGTCCCATCTGCAGGCTGGTCGACTGTGGCATCACGGAGGGGCGCTGCAAGGACATGAGCTCTGCGCTCCGGGACAACACCGCCCTGACCGAGCTCAGCCTCTGCTCCAACGAGCTGGGCGATGCCGGCACGCACCTGGTGCTCCAGGGCCTGCAGCCCACCTGCAGGATCCAGAAGCTCAGGTGAGCCCGTGGGGGCCACACAGCCAGGCGCACCCTCTCCTGCCTGTGGCCTGGGGACCCCAGAGCCCACTGGCCAGGCTGTGGCCTCCCTGTGACGGTGGGTGTGACTCTCCCAGCCTCCAGAACTGCTGCCTGTCGGAGGCCGGCTGCGGGGCCCTGTCCAGCGTGCTGCGCTCCCTGCCCTCCCTGCGCGAGCTGGACCTCAGTTACAACCAGCTGGGGGACGCAGGCCTGCGGCTCCTCTGCGAGGGGCTCCTGGACCCCCAGTGCCATGTCGAGAGGCTGCAGTGAGTGTGCCCCGCCCAGGGTCCCTGAGGTGCCCGCTCCCCTGCCTAGGTCCACTCAGTCCTGCACCCTGTCACTCGGGCTTTGCCTGTGCTGGGCAGCCCTGCCACACTGTAGCTGCAGGGAGGCTAGAGGGACCCTCGGGCACAGATGTCCCCGTGACTCAGGCTGGGGCCCTCTCAGAGGAGCTGGCAGCTGGTTGGTGACCGCACTCGTGTGGGGCGGCCTGGCAGTGCGGATGCGCAGATGGGCTGGTTCAGGGAATCCCAGGCTGGGGTAGGCTTGTGGTCAGCAGGTGGTCCCTAGGAGGGTCCAAAGTCTAGCAGCCCTCCACTGTCCGAAGACCTCAGCCCCGTGGGGGGGACGAGATGTGTTCCTGAGCTGAGGGCTGACAGCCCCCCCGTCCCCAGGCTGGAGTACAGCAACCTGACGGCCGCCAGCTGCGAGCCCCTGGCTGCTGTGCTCAGGACCAAGCAGGAGCTGAAGGAGCTGGTGGTGAACAACAACGACATCGGCGAGGCTGGTGCCCGGACCTTGTGCCAGGGCCTGGCTGACTCTGTCTGCCCACTGGAGTCACTCAAGTAAGCACTGGGCTAGGTGGGGAAGTGTGGCAGGTGCGGGGTCTCCCACCCGCCACAGCACCCCCTGTGCCCCAGGCTGGAGAGCTGTGGCCTCACCTCGGCCAACTGTCAGGACCTGTCTGGCATCGTGGGCGCCAAGGCCTCGCTGCGTGTCCTGGAGCTGGGCAACAACAGACTGGGCGACGTGGGCGTCGCAGAACTCTGCTCCGGGCTGCTGAGCCCCAGCTCCCGGCTCAGGACCCTGTGGTGAGCGGGACTCTGCAAGGCACCGCACTGCCTCCCCGCCCCGGGCGTGGACGTGCTGGGCCGGGCGGGACTGGCCACGCATGCTGCACTCATTGGGTCGGCGTCACCCCGGGTGGCCCTACAGTGACCTGTCTCCTGCAGGCTCTGGGAGTGTGACATCACGGCCAGTGGCTGCAGGGACCTCTGCCGGGTCCTCAGAGCCAAGGAGAGCCTGAAGGAGCTCAGTGTGGCTGGCAACGCAGTGGGGGACGAGGGCGCCCGGCTGCTGTGTGAGAGCCTGCTGGGGCCCGGCTGCCGGCTGGAGTCCCTGTGGTGAGTGCAGCCCGGCCCTGCAGGGCGACGACTCCCCAGGGGACCCCGTGTGAGGGTGGGACGGCCTGGTGGGCACAGTGCTGGGGCCGCGGAACAGGGCCACCCAGGTTGCCTGAGGCCTGGGCCTCAGTCGTCCTGTGTCCCCAGGGTCAAGTCCTGCAGCCTCACGGCCGCGTGCTGCCCGCACGTCAGCGCGATGCTGGCCCAGAACAGGACACTGCAGGAGCTGCAGCTGAGCAACAACAAACTGGGTGATGCCGGCGTGGAGCAGCTGTGCCAGGGCCTGCGCCAGCCCGGCGCCGCCATGCGGGCGCTCTGGTGAGCGGGCGTCTGCGTGGGCAGCACGTAGCTCGGGCCTGTCCTGGCCCTGGTCCCTGTTCAGAGGTGCCCTGGCCCCACTTGTCCCCCTAGGTCCACGCTGGACTGTTAACTCCCGGCTTCGCCTCCAGGGAGGGGAGGACCCGTCCTGAGTCAGCCCCCTGCTCTTCGCGGGGCCACTCTGTTATGTTCCGGGGCTGCCCTTTCCAGTGGGTCCTGGCTCGTTCTCTTCTGTCCTCTGCATCTTTCATCCTGTGGCCCTGTCATGGAGCAGGGGCCTGCAGCTCCCTGGCCCAGCAGCCCAGAGCTGTGCACCCTGGAGGGTCCTCAGGCCTCGGTGCACTCTCGCTGGTGGGAATGGCCCAGCCTGTCCTCTGTCCTCCTCGGGCCGCGCCCAGGCCTTTCTCTGAGCCAGGAAGCTTTTGTGCACGCTGTCGACCCCCTCGGCTCCTGTGGCCACCGCTTCTGGCTCATGGCTGGTGAGGGAGCGAGGGGTGGGCGCGCAGACCTCCTCCTGTGGTCCTGTCACCCAGCACCACTCCTCCCAGAAGGCCCCGGTGCCTACCCCCTGCCACATCAGGTCAGGGCTGAGTCCAGGTGTGCCTGCAGCCCAGGTCTTCCTGACTGCTGTGCCCGCCGCGGGGAACACTGCACCTTCATCTACAGTCCACTCAGGGCACAGACCGGGACCCGGGGCAGCTCTGGCCTTGGGTCTCGATGAGTGTTTGCAGACATGTCTCAGGGCTCATCACGGTGTGTGGACACCCCACGTTTTGGTGGCATAGGCCCAGGTCACTCAGCCAGTCAGTGGCAGTCTAGGGGCGTGCCCTTTGTTCCGACCTCTGCCCTGCTGTCCAAACAGGCTGGGGGACTGCGAGGTGACCGACGAGGGCTGCAGCAGCCTGGCCTCACTGCTGCTGGCCAACCGCAGCCTACGCGAGCTGGACCTCAGCAACAACTGCATGAGCGAGCTGGGCGTCCTCAAGCTGGCGGAGAGCGCCCAGCAGCCCAGCTGCTCCCTGGAGAAGCTAGTGTAAGTGATGCGGTGGGCAGTGTGGCCAGGGCTGCCCGGCTCAGCCAGAGCAGGGAGGGTGCAGGGCGGGCGGCCCCAGCCGTGCCCCAGCCCACACCCGGCCTCCCCTGCAGCCTGTTCGACATCTACTGGACGGAGGAAACGGAAGACCACCTGCGGGCCCTGGAGGAGAAGAAGCCCAGCCTGAAGATCATCTCCTGAGCCTCCGCCGCCCCCCAGCTCCTGAAACTGCGGGGCCACCCGTCTGGCATGGGGCTGGCCAACTCGCTGGGGCTCTTGCTCCTGGTGCCTTAGCATTCACTGAAGCGAAATACTCAAATAACTTCGGTGAGAACATTCTGGACACTTTATAATTATTAAAACACTTTTTAGATAGAGGGTCTCTGTCCTTCCTTGTGGGGTCCCCGAGAGGTCCCCATATCGCAAATGTGATGCTTTTTTGAACACGATCTTGCTGCCCGAGACCACCGTCAGCTTGAAACAAGTTAGGCCCTGGACAGTGACACCCAGTGACACCCGGAGATCCTGCCCTGGAGGCTGAGTCCCGCCCACACGGGGATCCTGGAACGTGCCCTCTGCCCTCAGGAGCCTGGCTCGGGCCTCCAAACTGCTGGGCCCAGAGTGCTCTCCTAACGGAGCCCTCAGCCCTCGGACTGGAGGGCAGGGTCCTGCTGGCTGGCCTCACCTTGCCAGCACAGGGTGCTCCCCTGACTGTGCCAGTCAGGGGGGACCCACAAGATGCAGCAGCTGAGTTGGTACCTGGGCAGCAGCACCCAGCTCACTGCTGTGAAGCCCTTCTAGGTGACCAAGACCTTGGCTTCAATCATGACCCCCCCCCCCCCGTGAGGAGTCGGGTTCCTGGGCCTGGTTTGGGCAGTGGGTACGAGGTGAGCTCGTATGTGCTCAGACCAGTGGGCTGCCTGGAGCCCCAGCCTGGGACCAGGGGACCAGGCTGCACCCACTGAAGGGGGGACGGACAGCAGAGGGAGGCTGGGCCCTAAAGGCGTGACCAGGACGAGGTGCCGTCGCCCCAGCCCCTGGTGCGGGGCACCCTCAGGAGTACACTGGGGTGGGGCTGGGGGCACAGGCCTTGGAGAGCATCCCTTCGGTGCTGATGAGCACAGTCGGCTCAGGGACAAGAGCAGCGCAAGCCTCGGGCGGGGTGGGGCGGGGCGGGGCGCTCCACCTGCAGAGCCAGCCGGGCCTGGACACCGCCAGGTGAGGATGGCCGGGACCCGTGTCCATCAGACCAGGGCAACAGGGCAGCACGGCCACAGGACAGGGAGCTTGCCACCACACGCGAGTCCTCAACAGCAAAAACCAAGGCGACAGAAGTCCTTTGAGGTCGGTCTTCACAGCCAGGGTGGGGACTCGGATTCGGGGCACCTGCCTCTGCAGCCAAGGTCCTCGCGACCCGCCCCCAGCAGCACCAGCTCCCAGCCCCTGCCACACGCAGTCCGTGCCAGGTGCACCGATGGAGCAGGCGGGTGACCCTGCCCCAGCCGGGCAGCCCTGAGCCTGGACTCCCACCCCTTTGGGCCACGCTCCCCAGGGTGGTGGGGGAGGGGCACAGTGGAGGCTGGGGTCAGTAAGGACACGCATGTCAGACCACTGCAGGTTTATTTGTTCTGTTTGCTCTTGGAGATGACCACCAACTTGGGGCCAGGGACCCCAGGCCCCGTCCTTCCAACCATGGGCACAGGGCCTGGGAGTGTCGGCCAGTGCCTCCCTGGAGACCCGCCCCGGCCCGCTCGCCCTCTAGGTGAGCTGGGTGGAGGAGGGCTCCCAAGGGAACGGCTCAGCGCTGCAGCTGGGACCCACCTTCTCGGCCTCCCTGGGCTGGTGGACCAGTCAGTAACACAAGGGCCAGGGGTGGAGTGGGGCCAGCAGGGTTAGGGGCCGGGACCTCCGGGCACCAGGGCTCGGGGTGGTCCAGGGGCCGGTGGGCTGACGGCACAGAGGACTGCTGCCCCAGGGCGTGCCCAGCCACACCTGCTGCCCGAGACGCCTCCGGAGCCCGGAGCAGAGCAGACGTGCACACGCACCGCCACCCGCTCACCAGCCCTGCCGGACGGCCTCCCCACGCCCCAGTCCGCTGTGTGGGGAAAGGGAGGGTGTCGGCTCCTGGTGGGATCCGAGGAGAAAGGGACACAGGCCTGTGTCCTGGCGGTCGTGGGGCAGGTCAGCTCAGAGCCGGTGCGCCCTCCTGCTCATCCTCCGCGGGCCCCGGGGCGGGGTCCGGCACAGGCGCGTGCCTGTCTGTGTTGCCGACCGTGTTGCCCTGGTCACTGTTGTTCTGCTGCTTCTGCCGCCGGGTCTCCTTGTACCGCAGGGTGATGTCCCTGGGGGCAGCGGGGGCCGGGTCACTCAGCCTGCGGGCCCCAGGGACGGCCCTGCACGGCCAGGGCGGGAGGACGGAGCCACAGGACCCAGACGACGCCCAGCCGGACGGGCGGCCCTCACCGCAGGAAGAAGCGCCACACGGTCCAGGTGAGCACGAGCACGGAGCCGAGCGTCCAGCACTGGGCGATGTAGAAGGGCAGCGACAGCGTGAGCGTGTGCGGGTCGTACTTCACCACGATGAGCAGCTCCGTGACGGTGATGGCGGCCACCAGCCAGGCCTGCTGGCCCAGCTTTCTGTGCGGCTTCCTGTGGGGAGGCACACGGCTGAGGGCGCCTGGCCGGCTGCGCTGGGCCCAGGCCCGCCCCCGCCCGCGGCTCACGGGTCGTCCATGAAGTCGTAGATCTCCCGCATGGCCACGCCGCCCACGTTGACGAAGAACACCAGCCGCAGCAGCACCAGGGAGTGCTCCGGGGGCAGCCACAGCACGAACTTCAGGTAGAACGTGTTCAGCTCTGCCAACAGAAACTGGGGGACAGGGGAGGGTGGGTGTGGTGCCGGGCCCGCGGGCCGCGCGCCAGGCGGCTGCTTACCACCAAGATGATGCCGCACACGGCCAGCCAGCGGCGCAGGCTGGAGGCCGGCTTCCACTCGAAGCGGACCCAGCTGTAGGGCGTGAACTGGAAGGCGATCCTCTTCATCTTGCCCCTGGAGCCGGGGTGGGGCGTCCGTCAGCGGGCTCCTGGCCCCACGCCCCTGCCCGGGGCACCCAGGATGTGTGGGAGAGGGCACCCCATTTCTCAGCCCTGGCCGCCCGCCCCAGGTCTCTTCTTGGGCTGTTCATTTCTTTTAAATTCAAACAAAAACGACAGTGCTGGCACCCACTTCAGGGGAGGAGCCTCCAGGAAGGGCCTTTGAGGGTGAGGATGCTGGTCAGACTGGGGCGGGCTGACGTCCCGCACTGTGGGCCTTCGTGGGGTTCCCACGGGCAGCCCAGGGTTGAATCTCAAGTGGAGATTATAGGAGGCAAAATCCTCGACTGTCACCCTTCCCAACAGACACGTCAGACAGAGCTGGGCCTGGATCTCGGGGGCCACCCCCGGCCCACACCGACGCCCAGACCCCGAGCGGCAGGCCCTCGGGAGACGTACTTGTAGGTCGGAATGTTCCAGAGGCCCTGCCACTTGTAGGTCTTCAGGGACAGCCACTCGAGGGTCTTCATGCCGCAGTAGATGCCCAGCCCGTTGCAGACCAGCACGTCCATGATCCACTGGGGGCGGGAGGCAGACACCACGGACCCTGAGCACGTCCCGCCTTGTCTGGGGGGACCCCAAGGGCAGGGTGGGCAGGCCTGGGTCCTGGGACACTGCCAACCCCACGTGGACGGGGTGCGTGTTGGCACCTACGTGGTCCCACCAGCACTCGCTGAAGTTGGGCAGCTGGTGCTCCAGGCTGTACTCCAGGAACTCGAACATCACGCTCACGATCGTGCATGTCCACCAGTCGCGGATCATCAGGGTCTGGGGGCCCGGGGGCGGCTGGGTCAGGGCCATGCGCTCTCAGGAGCAGGACAGGCATGGGGTGCAGGCCCCGGGGGTCCCACCCAGCGCCCCAGGCGGTTTCACAAACCCTCCGGACAGCTTGCTCATCTTCACCAAGGCCACTCTGACTGTCCACCCACGACTGGCCAACGGCCCAGACCACAGCGAGCTGCAGACCAGGACCCAAGCAGCAGGGAGCCTGCCTCACCTTCAGGTACCAGCCGATAAAGTGCGCAGGCACGAAGCCGTCCAGCTTGTCCTGTGGGCGAGGGGCGTGGGCCTCAGACATGCCCGACGTGCAGCCCACCCCCTCAGGGCCCCCAGACCCCCCGCCGTGGCCCCCACTCCCTGTGCCTGGCACGGGGTCGTCCCCACCCAACCGAGGGCCCTGAGCAGCGCCTGCCTGACCCTGGGGACAGTGCAGGGTCCCCTGCAGGTGTGGTGCGTGGGGCACACCCTAAGCCAAGGACAGCAGGGCCCCACACATTCGTCCTGGCCCCCCCCAATGGGGCCCGGTCCTGACCCAGACGTTGTGGAAGGGGTCCGTCTCGTTGTCCGCGTCGTAGATGAGGCAGTTCCCCCCGTAGTCCCTCTCTGGCAGCGGGACCCCCAGCCTGGGGTCAACGTACTTCAGAAACTGGCGGCCATCATGCACGGTCTGCAAGGGCAGCATCTCGTCAGGGGCCAGACACACCTCCGGCCGTCACCGGCGCTTCCAGCCACACACGCGGACGGGGCTCACGGTGCGCGGACAACACTTCCACTGACCGTGTGGCCAACACGCTGCCCCCCACTCAGGGCTGAGCAGACTGGGAGCCCCACGCCCCAGGTGACGTTCTGCACCTCCTGTGGGAGGGACGGGGGCAGCCCCAGCACTGGGGGGTCTCACGACGTCAGGACAGCCGGACATGCAGACACCAGCACCGGCACACACTCCGGGACTGCGAGGCGAGGAGGGCAGCCCCCCGCGTGCCCATCCCAGGACCCGGCTCCTACAGCCCTGCCCTGAGCAGCAGCCGGGGTCAGAGGTGGAGGGCACGAGGCCGCGGGGCAGGGGACACTCAGACTGTCCGTCACACGGCTGGGCCGCCCCTGGCTCGGAGCCTTTGGACGTGTCCCTCAGACAGACACACATCACTGAAGTCACGGTGCTCCGGTGACCCAGGACCGGGGGTAGAGGGCTGCACCCTGAGTCAGCGGCCAGTCAGCAGGGGCAGATTCTCGGATACTCAGCCCTTAAATGTGGAAAACTGGGCTTCTGAGGGCTGACGCCACCCGAGGAAGACAGACTGACACCCACTGGCACCCACCCCTTGGCTCCCTTGTGGACACGGATCCCAGTCAAGGAGCAGCGAGCACCCAGAGCTCAGTCCCTGAGACCGTCCCCCAGGAAAGGACCAGGGTGCTGGGCAGGGAACGCCCAGGGAGGGGCCTGGAGCATCTCCGGTGCCAGATCAAAGGGAAGTGCTCAGGAAGACCAGGCAGACAAGGGGACACCAAGGACCCCGGGGGGCCTGTGAGGTGCGTGGGAGCCAGCACGGGAGCTCCCAGCGCCCACGGCGGCGCGAGTGACGTCACCAGAGCGGGGTCACGACCAGAAGCGCTTCCTGCGTGCACACGGCGTCACAGAGGAGGGCTTGCTCCTCGCGGTGAGGAGGCAGGTCTCTGCGGCAGCGTGCGGACGCCCAGCGGTGGTGCATGGGGGGCCGTGCGCCCAGGCAGGGCCTGGACAGTGCGAGCATGTTGCCGCAGGACCGCGCCCAGCCAGACCGTGCGAGCACAGGCCGCCCCATACCCGAGCCGAGGCCCACGAGACCCCGGCTGGCCGCGCGTGCGAGGCTCTTCCCGAGGGGAGGGCTGCCGGCCGCCCGCCTCCTGGCTGCCGTGGACACAGCCCCTCTCTGTGCAGATGACACCACTCAGGATCCAGAAAACGGCCAGAAACCCAACGAAACAGCAGCGACAACAGAACTGCCAGACTGAACAGGCTCAGCAAGGTGGCTGGACGAGATCGGCCCATGAACACTGCGTTTCCACGGATTTGTAACGAGCAAACCAGGACTGAACCTGAGAACACAAGTCCCCTCACAGCAGCACCGGGGCCAGGAACTGCTCAGGGCGGGCAGCCCGGAGAGCTCCCGATGCTGCTGAAGAGGTGAGAGGCGCGGACAGACCAAGCTCTGTGCTGGGGAGACGCCCCGTCGGCAGCCCACCTGCCGCTACAGAAACGGCCAAGGTGACCCTGACAAACAGGAGCAGGAGGGATGTGTGACTCCACCCTGGCCAGTGCTCCTCAGAACTGTCCAGATGACCAAACAGGACGTCGGATAACACAGCCCAGAGGGCCCGAGGACACGTGGCCACTAGATGTCCTGTGGTCCTGGGACAGAAAAGGGGCACCAGGGGTGTGAACGAGAACAGGGACACCTGTTGGGAAGGGATCTGGTGGTGAAACAGCAAGGGGCCCAGCAGCCACGCCCACACAGGGGACGGCCTGCCCCGTCCCTGCCCCGAAGGCCTCACCACGGAGGAGTCCCGCTCACCGCAAGGGCGGGCTGCAGACCTGGAGAGCAGAGCGTGTCTGCACCTCACACATCCAGCGAGGCCTTGGACCATATGAAAAAATTAAAAAGTCTCCCTGGCTGGTTTGGCTCAGTGGTTGGGGCGTCGGCCAGCAGAACAGAGTCGCAGGTCCGATCCCAGTCAAGGCGCGTACCTCAGTCGTGGTTCGTCCACGGTCCTGGTCAGGGTTGTGCGGGAAGCAGCCAGTCGATGCCTCTTTCCCCCATCGATGTTTCTCTCCCTCTCTCTCTCCCTCCCTCCCACTCTATCTGAAGATATTTGAAAAAAATATGCTCAGGTGAGGATTCAAATAATAATAATAATTCAATTTTTTATAAAGGCAAAAAACGTGAACACTTCACCAAGGGGATGTTTGCACGGCTAATAAACGCGTGAGAAGTTGGGCACCATAACCAGCCAGTCGAGAAACGCAGATCAGATTGGGGACGAGACACCGCTGCCCCGGCCGGTGGCTGGGAGGAAGCAAGCCGGGCGCTGGGGCAGCGGGCAGCCCCTGGAGGCCGGACCCCCGCGGGAGCTGGGGGGGCTCAAGGGCAGCTCCGGGCCCACGGCCCCCACGGCCCCCACCCAGAAACAACCCGCGCGTCCCCTGCTGCAGGGCAGAGTCGGCAACAGAAGGGACGGCAGTGTGACGACACGGGAGGGTGCGCTCCCGGCATCGGGGCTGCCAGCTCCGCTCACGGGAGGCCCCAAGGCGGAGCCCTGGTGCTGGAGGGCTGAGGGCTGGGGGGGCACCCTCAGGGTGACCGGAAGCGCCTGGGGGAGGGGACCGTTCTGTCCTAACTGGTGTTCCCGCACATATACACAGGTGTCAACACTCGCAGACCGGCACACCTACCCTAAACCAGCAAAACTCACCCCGTGACCAAGAACCAGCCAGACACACGCAGGCAGACCCCAGCACAGCACACCCCCCTCCCTGCAGGGCGGCTGGGAGGGGAGAGCCACAGCGGGCCCACCGCCAACACAGACGCCCAGTGAGGACCAGCCCTGGGTCCCCCTTAACCACCGGGGGCACCGAGTCCCGGGTCCGACGTGCTTCTTTCCCAGCTGTGGCGGCCCCAGGTGCCCGCACGGGAACCAGTCCATACACTGGGCCTGCCTGTGCCTGACCTGAGGCTGCCAGGGCGCGGCCCACGCTGACAGCCCTCACCAGAGACCCGGGCGGGCCTGCTGAGCTCCACGCGCAGAACAGATTCTGCTGAAACGTGACGTTCTAGTCTCCCCGAAAACAGACCCTTCTGGAGGTCCCTCTAAGCCTCTGCTCACTTTTGTTGGGTTTCGGCCTTGCTTCTGTGGACCTCAAGGCCCCACTGTGCTGAACCCGGCAGAGTCCAGGACCGGAACCCGGCAGCCATAGGGACAGGGCCCCCCACGTGGGAGGACGGCCCCCGCCTGGAGCCCTGCCTCCCAGCAGACCCTCCAGAGGAAGCTCCTTGTGTCCTCTTCCCATAAACAAGCTGAGACCAGCTGCTCAGCGACACCTCATCTGCACCATACCGACCAATCAGAGCAGCTCAACAACCAACAGAATGTGTGAAGCTGACCAATCAGGACAGTGCTATTTGGACCAATCAGACAGTGCAAATCTGGATCCCTCATCTGCATAGAAATAGACCAACTGGCAAAGGAGTGCTGGAGGGTGTGAACAGGGGACCCTAGTGCACTGCTGGTGGGAACGCAGACTGCTGCAGCCACTGTGGAGAACAATGTGGAATATCCTCAAAAAATTAAAAATAGAACTGCCATTTAACTCAGTGATCCCACTTCTAGGAATGTACCCTAAGAAGGCTGAAACACCAGTCAGAAAGAACATATGTACCCCCATGTTCATAGCAGCACTATTTACAATAGCTAAGATCTGGAAACAGCCCAAGTGCCCATCAGTAGACGAATGGATAAAAAGCTGTGGTACATGTACACAATGGAGTACTATGCAGCTGTGAGAAAGAAAGATCTCTTATCCTTTGAGACGACATGCAGGGAAAGGAGAATATTATGCTAAGTGAAACAAGCCAAACAGAGAAAGACAAATATCACATGGTCTCGCTTATTTGTGGGACATAATGAACGATACAAGCAATCGACCAAGATCCAGAGACATGGAAGCAGGGAACAGACTGACAGCCTCGGAGGGATGTGGAGGGGGTGCGGGAAGAGATAAACCAAAGAACTTACACGCATCTGTCCACCACCAATGGACAGGGACACAAGGCTGGGGAAGGCAGGGGGGGTTGGAGCAGGAAGGAGGGGTCAATGGGGGGCAAAAAGGGGACACCTGTAACCCTTTCAACAATGCAAAAGGGGAAAAAAAGAGGTGAAAAGAAAAGGAAACAGACCAACTGGGAACCAGGGCAGGAACCTTCCCGTAAAAGGTAGGTTCCCGCCCGACGGGTGTGGCTCAGTGGACTGAGCGTGTCCTGTGGACTGAGAGGTCCGGGTTCAATTCCTGATCGGGCACACGCCCAGGTTGCAGGCTCGATCCCCAGTTGGAGGTGTATAGGATGCAGCCGATTGATGTTTCTTTCTTTCTTTTCAAAAAATTTTTCTTTATCGATTTTAGAGAGACAGAAACATCCATGAGAGAGAACATCAGCTGGCCGCCTCCTGCACGCCCCCCACTGGGGATCAGGGCATGTGCCCTGACTGGAAATCGAACCAGCGACCTCCTGGTGCATGGGTAGATGTTTTTTGTTTTTGTTTTTTCTATCCTCACCCGAGGACATTTTTCCATTTTTTGTACAGATAGAGTGGGAAGGAGAGAGAGGAAGAGACAGAAACAAACATCATCGTGAAAGGGACACATCGAGTGGCTGCCACCACACGACCAACCAGGGCCGGGGACAAACTGCAACTGAAATACGTGCCCTTAGCAGGAACCGAACCCGGGTCTCTCTGGACCGCAGGCCGATGCTCTAACCGCTGAGCCAAACCGGCCAGGGCTGGGTAGATGTTTTTATCTTTCTTCCTCTTCCTCTTTCTTTAAAAAAATCAGTAAAAACATACTAAAAAGAAAAGGCAGCTTCCCATTTGTCTCCAGGGTGCAAGCTGTTCACTTGAATAAAGTTCTTTCTCTTCTCGTTTTTTTTTTTTGGTTAATCCTCACCCAAGTTTTTTTTTTTTTAAATCCTCACCTGAGGACATGTTTTCCATTTTTTGTTCAGATAGAGTAGGGGGGAGAGAGAGGAAGAGAGAGAGAGAGAGAGAGACATCGATGTGAAAGGGACACATCGAGTGGCTGCCACCCGCACGACCAACCAGGGCCGGGGACAAACTGCAACCAAGGTACGTGCCCTTAGCGGGAACCGAACCCAGGTCTCACTGGACCGCAGGCCGACGCTCTGACCGCTGAGCCAGGCCAGCCAGGGCAGTTTCTCCTCCCTCCCACATCGCAGACGGGGGACTTCTGCCGACAGCTCCAGAGGGCTGAGCTGCACGGCCTTCGGTCCCCTCGACCCCTGGGCCACCCGCCAAGAGAAGCAGCTTACCTGGAAGAGTATGAAGATGAGAAACAGCTCGTAGACCACGCTGACGCAGAGCCAGAACCTCCAGTACGCTGCAAAGACAGGGCGCAGCGTCAGGGAGCCCGGGCCCGGCCCGCGATCGGCCTGGCCCGGCGCAGTCTGGCAGACTTCACAAGGCCCAGCCTGACTCGGAGGGAGTCCACGCTCTCTGCAGGCTTTTCCTCCATTCCTTCCATTCCAGTCCTCCGATCTTTATTTCTTTTTCTTTCTTTTATTAATCTCACTCGAGGATATTTTATCCATTGAATTTTAGAGAGTGGAAGGGAGGGAGAAAAAGAGAGAGACACATCGATTGGTTGCCTCCTGCACGTGCCCTGACCAGGGCTGGCAATTGAACCCTGAACCAGGAATCAAACCTGTGACCCTTTGGCGTGGGTGCCGACGCGCTAACCACTGACCACACCAGCCAGGGCTCTATTTCTCTGTCCTGCCTCACTGCAGTGCAGAGGGACAGAAGCAGAGACAGAAACACCATCCTGTGTTTACGAGCAGCATGTCTAACCCTGCACAGCACAGGCCTCCGGTTCCTCGTGGTACCTTGTATCATGTCAAGAAAAATCTTTCAGTTCCAGTCTCTAAGTTTCTATCACAGACGAGTATGAAGCTGTACTTCCTGCACGTGAGGGGGCCGCTCCTGTGTGAGGAGACGGGCACACTGGCGCGTGTCCCGAGGCTGAGCCAGCATTTCCTGGGACGGACCCAGCTGGGCTCCAGGCGCCTGTGGGGACCATCCACTGTCCGCAGCGGTGCGTCAGGCTTGAGAGTGGCTAAGACAGCACTTCTGAGAGGTTCTCACTGCCAAACACACTGTCCCCACGAGGTGACGGAGGCGGTGACCTGTCGGTGTCCGGTCCTCTGTGGCGCACGGGAACTGTGCGTGCCCTGCGCCCCCCGCCCCCTGCCTTTCGCCAATGTAAAGCCCGTTTCCCACCGGGGAGGAGACGACGGGAGGGGAAGTCTAGAACTATTCTGAAATGCACACGGTGACCTTCGCCTTCCAAGCACCTCGACAGTCCTTTCCCTTTGCTCACGATGGTGGAAACCTCCAGTCTGCTTCAAGAACAACTCATCTGGGATGAAAACGGTGCCCGCAGAGCCAGGGCCCTGGTCGTCTAGGGGGTCCCCAGCTCACCCCCACCACGCGCAGCGCCGGCTGGGCATACAGATGGGTGGTAGGGAGGCTGCCAGGGCCTGACGTGCCAGCAGGGAGGGAGAGTTCCCAGCCCAGGCACGGAGCCCCCACGGGTCTGTAGGCCAACCGAGCACCCTCAGGGCTGGGCTTCGTCTGCTGGGGAGGACCAGCCACGGGGCGCACGGGGTGGGCAGCAGGAGGCTCAGCTGATGCTCGGCATTCGCTATGTACTGCACACCTGCACCTCAGCTGGAAGCCGACCTCTGCCCCCCACCCGTGTGGAACCAGCCTGGCTCAGGCAGAAAATACAGACACAGAGAGTCCTCAGGAAAACTGCCAAAGCAGTTCTGGGACACGGGATGGACACGAGGTGGCAGACAATACGTCTTCTCCGCGCCCTCACGGTGGCAGAAGCTTGGAACAAGTTCCCTGGTCCCAGAGCTGGAGGGTCCCTGCCAACCACTGGGTTGGGGAGACATTTGGACGAAGGCGCCCAGGCCAGGCTCCCAGAATCACACCCCAGGTCGGCAAGGACACTGGGCAGAGCACGAGCCACGAGGGAGACGCGGCAGGGCTGGCAGACCAGGCCGCCTGCTGGCCTCCAGAGAGCCAGGTGTCCATGAGGGTGACCAGCTTCCCGCCGGTGGGTCTCCTGGAGCCCAGGGGCCAAAGGCCAGAACAAGCAGCTGCACTGGCCATTCTGGCCCTGGCAGGGCTGTCAGTCCCACTGCCTCTCGCTGCGACCGCGTTGGTCCAGCTTCCAGCCGGGCCCTCTTCCTTCCAGACGGATCCGGCTGACCGGCTGACCGGCGCTCTGGCGTTCACTGCGATTCTGGTGTTTTCACAGTCACCTCCCTTCTGCACTGTGCAGGCTTCCCCGCCGTTCTGGGCAGGACGGGAGGTGCAGACCCGGAGCAGGCCGAGGCCCTGCCGCTCCAGATGGCCCCGCCCTTCCAGCCTCAGTGTGGCCGTGCCCTGCCTCTCAGGTGCTCGGACACGGGCACCCTGCTGACCAGCAGCGTGTGTGCTGGGCACAGACATGCCCCTTCTGAGGGCCCCTCCAGCTGCTGGGTGGAGAACTGTGCCCGTTCACCGCAGCGAAAACCAGAACCTCCCCCACGGAGCTGGTTCACTGTGGTGCATTCAGATGACGCTGAGCGAGCAGTGTCAGAACCCAGCCGTCAAAGACAAGGACATGCTTGTGTCGCTCCGCGGTGGAAAATGCGCGGTGACCCCCCCACTCGATCCCAGTGTGTGGCGATGTGTGTGCAGACACACACACATCAGAGCTTACCAGTCGTCATTGCGTGTGAGCGGCATTCACTTTTACTTAAAAATGTTTTTTGTATTTTCCAAATTTTCAGGATAAACACACACCCTTCCTGAGCCAGAAGAAACACTGCGCAGCCCCCAGGGAGCTGGCCCTAGCAGCTCTGACTCCGGGGTGGGGCAGCGAGGGGCAGTGCCGCAGGCAGTGCCGGTGCAGGGCGCACCTCGAGCCTAAAGCGCGGCCCCTTGGAGCCCCCCTGGCCCACGGGCAGCTCTGGGGGAAACGCATGTGCGGGAAGCAGCCCAGGAAGACGGGTGGGCAGACACGGGCGAGAGCGGCAGGGCAGGCCGAGGAATGGAGCCCGGGAGGAACAGGACCAGCCCTCGTGCCCCAGACGACAGCCTGGGGCAGGCCGGGCGGGGTCTCACACCAGCGCACAGACAGCAGCCGCTCCCAGCAGAGCCGCCAGGAAGGCACACACACAGACAACGGGCAATTACCTGGATGAGGTCTGGAAAAGGGCCCGTCTTTGGCTTGTGTTACTCCAAAACATAAGAAAACCAAAATACTGGCCACAATACCTCTGCAAATAAAGAACAAACAGCCCCTCAGTGTGCGTAAGCGTAAGTCCATGCTGGCTGCTCCAGGCAGGAGGCAGGAGGGACCCCAGGGTGCCCTCCCAGTGACAGCCCCGACCCCATGGGGCAAGGGGGCTGGAGCTGGGCCTGGGACGAAGGGGCCAGCGCCCCCCGGCCCTGGGGCTGTGCGTCGCACCCTGCCCTTCGGTGACACACGTGCTCCACGCTTCTACACGCCCTGTGGGCCTTGTCTGACAGCCCGCATGTCCCCAGGGCTCTGTCAGAATAAACTTGGTCATTTTCTCCTGCTACTCTGTCTCAGGTGGATTTGACTATCGGTCCCGCTAGGAGCACCCTGAGCAGGTGAGCTGGCTTTAGCTGAGGTCGGGGCGTGTGAGAAGGAGCAGGTAGGAGGTGAGCGTCCCCCTGGTCTGCTTCTTGGGGTGGAAGTTAAAGGTGGAGAGGCCCCCCTGTCTTCTGAATTCAGAGTGGCAGGAAAAAATATCTGTGAAGCTGGCTCGCTGGGCTTGACGACTCAGGTTTTCTTTAGACTCTCCCCTGCGAGATGGCTGTTTCACTGCGCATGTCTTGTGTCGTCTGTCACGAGAAGGAAAGGCCGTAGGACAGGACTCCTGACGAGCCTGCGGCAGGGAGCTCCGTTCTCCCCGGTCAGACTGGAGCTGCTGAGTCTCCCCCAGGACCGTGAGCTTTCCCTGCGTCTTGTTCTACATTCCAGGAGAGCGGCTTCGTCTCTGGAAGGCACACTTAATGGGGTGCACCAGGTGGCCAAACAGACTGGGGTTGCCTTCTCCGGCCGGGCCAGCTCTCTGAGGAGTGTCATGGCAACCCCAGCCTGTCGTCTCACCTTCATCACTGGTTAGTGCTGGATGACCCCTCTCCAGCAGCCACTGGTCTGTGGTGGAGGCGTCTCACATTTTGTGGGAGACCGGGGACACCTTGCACATGCCACCGCCCTGCCTGCACGTGTGACGAGGATCTGTGCCTTCTCTATGCGGGGGAGTAAGCTTCTGGATCCTGGGGCTGCACTGTCTGCATCACGGTAAAGATTTATTCTAGGCCTGAGAAGGTACCACCAGGTATTTCCATAAAAAGGCTTAAGTAGTTGGAACTGCAATTGAGATTCAGAGAGCCTACTGTCACTGGCCAGACAGACTCAGATCCTTTGAATTGGAAAAAATTCTGAGTTGGAAAATGTTTAGAGAGTCAAAGGGTCTCGGGTTCAATTTCTGGTCAAGGGCACGCCCCTGGGTTGCAGGTTTGATCCCATCCCAGTCGGGGCACCTGTGAAAGGCAGCCCATCGATGTCTCTCCCCAGCCCTTCTGCTCTCTAATCACCAATGGAAAAGATATCCCAGAGTGAGGATTAGACAAAAAAACAAACAAACAAAAAAAAAACCCAGGTGAACAAAGCAAATATTGACAGGAGTGAAAGAAAGCAGACAGAAAGGACAGTCCCAGCTCTCGTGCCGGAGGGTGGACATCCTTAGATGGTTATTAAGACGAGACCGACAAAACAGATGTGGGTGGGTAACACCGATTTCCACACATCACGACCCCAGGCTGGGCCAGAGGGCCCCTGTGAGCCCCACCAGGTTAAGGGACCAAGTCTGCCCAGACTGGAGACACCTAAGAGCCGGGGCACAAGGACACAAGGACACAAGGACAAGGAGGAAACCCGGGGAGGCAGTCAGGCTGGTTAATCAAGTTAATTGTTGACAGAAGGATCAGGGTCCTTGGCTGCCTCCTTGCTGGGGACCCAAAGCCTTTCACTCGCGTAGGTAAGCGCACCAGGGAGGGAAGAGAGAGCCCAAGGCTCTGGCGGGACTCGGCTGACTCCTCGCCCCCAGGCCTAACTTTGGGAGCCAACTGGCATCAGCACCTCCGGAAACGAGACGCAGCTGTTGAAGGGAACTGTTCTCAAGGCTGAGACTGGTTCAGTGAGACACAGGATAGACTAACCCGCTTCGGGGATGCAACCGTCCTCAGGAGTCTGGAAGGCAGGACCCAAGGGGCCAGACAGGCCCCCCAGACACACCACGTGAGCATGGGGGTGGCTCTGAGCAGGAGGCAATGGAGACCTGTGTGCTCAGGAGAAACCTTTACCGCTCCCCTGAGAAACTTCAATTAGCGGCCTTGCTTATGCCAACTTATCACCAGAAATAACTTTTCACGACCTCTCTGCAGGGCAGGGCAGGCACTTAATCACTGCTGAACACCTGCTCTCATGGGGCAGCTGACCCTCCTTCCTCTAAAGCCTGGTGCCTGGCCCGCCCTTCGCGCAGAACGTCCGGGGGCCTCACACTCTCTGCCCACGAGCCTCTTGTGGGTGTGGGGCTCCCACCCTACACACGCAGTTAAATCTGGTTATTTTTCTTGCTAACTACTCTGTCTCACACGGATTTAGGTTAGACCGGCTGGAGGTGAACCCAGAGGTGCAGGAAAGTCTTCCTCCCCCACAGAAAGCCCGCAGGAGGGACGTCTGGGTTCCTTGCAGTTGGAGCAGTTAGGGGTCAAGCTGCTGTAAAGATCTGCTTGCGGCTTTCTGGGGGCGGAGCTTTGCTGTGTACCACCCCCCCTGCCCCTCCGTGGGGAGCGCACCCCGCTCTTGCCCCGCTGGCACCAGCGCTGTTTCTAAGCGCTCTAAGGTGCGAGGCGGTGTCTCAACTCCACTCCGCGTTTCTCTGGTGACAAGTGTGCTGACTCGCCATGTGCACACCTTCTCCGGTGCAGGGTCTGTTCAGACCTTCTGCCCGTTTTTAGTTGTGTCGCTTGTTCTCCTGTTGTGGCGTTTAGAGTTCTCTGCACCGAGGGAAACCAGCCCGCATCAGGCACATTCTGCGAAGACTTCCCAGCAGCCTGTGGGGGCCTCCCCTGGTCCTCACAAGGTCCTGCACACATGGACACTGTACAGACACGTGCACGCCCCAATGTCACCGCAGAGAAAGGACGTGGGCGGTGCTCCGCCCGGGGAGCGCTCCCAGCGGTGACCGACCCGAGAGGCACCCCGTGCACCCCGCCCACTGCGCCGAGCGGGAGCGGCCACGCGCGGGGCGCTCCCCGGATGGCGGCTGTGCAGCCAGCAAGAGGACCTGCGGTGCCGGACGGGTGGCTGCCGGGCCAGCGGGGCCTGACCCGGGCGCGGAGGACACGGCCTGCAGGCCTGCATCGTGGGAGACAGATACATTTGTGGAAACCCACCGAGCGGTAGCTACAATTGGAAACATTGTATAATAAATTATACATGAATCATGTTGACTTAAGAAAATTAGACCTATTCCTCCAAAGTGACAGAGCTTGTTATATCCCAAAAAAGAACAATGATACACAAGCCAAAACTGAAACCTTAAGAGAAACAATTTTCTAAATTTTTAGCAATGTATTTTGTTGTTTTTAATCTTCATCCAAGAATATCTTTCCATTAATTTTGAGATAGAATGAAAGGGAGGGAGGAAGGGGAGAGAGCGAGAGGGAAACATCAATGTGAGAGACACATCGACTGGTTGCCTCCCGCATGGACCTGGTCCGGGTCTGGGCTCAAACTTGCACCCCAGGCACATGCCCTTGCCGGGCCACACCACAGGCCTGAGGACGGAAGAACTGTGGGTTTGATTCCCAGTCGAGGGCACATACCTGGGTTGCAGGTTTGATGCCTGGCCCCGGTTGGGGTCGTGTGGGAGGCAACCAATGATGTTTCTCTCTCTCCCTCCCTCCCACTCTATCTCAAAAAAAAAAAAAAAGGGAAACAAAACGAAACAAAAATAAGCATTACCTATCCATGAAAACTTCCCTCTGACGTAAGTCAGCCTCTGCAGGGAGCTGCCCCCAGAGCCCTGGCACAGCCCAGGCGGAGGTGCTGCCCCCTGCTGGATGAGAACCAGTCCCCTGCCCTCATGTTCCGAGGTGCTCCCAGGACACCCTGCGAGGGCCCACTGCAGCCAGGGGTCACCTTCTTCCTGTGGCAATACTTGCCTGATGACACTGGAACTGGTCATGTCTGCCCTAATTTCACACGATATGGGGACTCTTCAGTGTGACCAAGTCCTGCCTGGGGCCTCCCTGCCCAGCGTTGCCATAGACCCTCCGCCCTGAAAATGGCTCAAGGGCACCTTGCTGACATGGAGTCTCGCCAGAAGGGGGCGCTCTCGTGCAGCACCACGTCCCTTGCAGGCCCCAGAAGAGTTCTCCAGAGGAAGGAGTCACAGTTACAGCCCCCAGAGAAAAGACGTCCAAGCCCTGCTGGTTTGGCTCAGCGGTAGAGGGTCCGCACGGACCAACGAGTCCTGGGTTCGATTCCAGCCAAGGGCATGTACCTAGACTGCAGTTCGTCCCCACTGGCTGGGGTCATGCAGGAGGCAACCAGTAGATGTGTCCCTCTCACCTCGATGTTTCTCTCTCTCTACCTGAAGATAAACAGAAACAGGTAAGGATAAAATAAAAAAAAGAAAAGGAAGAAGAAAAGAGGTCCAGGAAGCCACTGCCCAGGAGCTGAGAAACTGCCCTCCATGGGCCTCCCCTCCCTGAAGCGATGCTTCTCTCCTTGGCACGTTTGACTCGCTATAGCTCATCTCTAACTGCAATTCTTTTTTTTTTTTTATCCTCACCCGAGGACATTTTTGCATTTATCTTCAGATACATTTATCTTCAGAGGGGGGAAGAGAGAGAGAGAAACATCGATATGAGAGAGACATCGACTGGTTGCCACCCACACGACCCCAACCAGGGCCGGGGACGAACTGCAACCGAGGTGCGTCAGCGGGAACCTAACCCTGGACTCTTTGGTCCGCCGGCTGACACTCTAACTGCTGAGCCAAACCAGTTAGGGCCTAACTGCAATTCTTTGCTGCTCCTGAATAAACCATTTTTTTCTGGTCAAATTACTATTTAATTAATTAATTAATTAATTTTTATCCTCACCCAAGGACATTTTTTTGTTTTTCGTTTAGATAGATTGGGAGGAAGAGAGAGGAAGAGAGAGAGAGAAACACTGACGTGAAAGGGACACATTGAGTGGCTGCCACCCGCACAATCCAACCAGGGTCGGGGACAAACTGCAACCGAGGTCCGTGCCCTTAGCGGGAACCGAACCTGGGTCTCTCTGGACTGCAGGCCAACACTCTAACCGCTGAGCCAAACCGGCCAGGGTAGGGCACTATTTTATTTTTAAAGTCAACAAACTGCCCAGCCTGTGTGGCTCAGTGGTTGAGCGTCGACCCTGCACCAAGGGGTCGCTGGTTCGATTCCCAGTCAGGACACCTGCCCAGGTTGTGGGCCCAATTCCCAGTGGGGGGTGTGCAGGAGGCAGCCGATCAGTGTTCTCTCTCATCGATGTTCCTATCTCCCTCTCTCTCTCCCTTCCTCTCTCTCTAAAATCAATAAAGAAAAAAAAAAGTCAATAAACCCAGCTGGACAAATTTACAGAAAAGATCAAATTCTACTTGAAAAAGCCCTCTAGGCAAACATGGGCTCCTGCCAACAGTGCCAGTGTCCCTGCACAGCGCCCAGCGCCCAGCCCACTTCCTCCTGCACTCGGACCCACTGCCCACGGGCCACCCCCCAAGCCTGAGCGCAGCCAGGGCCCCGCAGGGAGCAGCGGGCAGTGCTCGGGGGAGGTGCGGCTTTCCAGCTGACACCCAGGGCTCGGGGGCGGCAGGAAGACTCAACAAAGCGGACTGGGGGGGCACCCTGCAGACGGTGGAGCCAGGATCACAGGTGAGGACAGGACAGCTCCTCGAGGCAGCACAGCCCGGTGTCCAGACCCCGGCAGCCATTTCTCACCAGGAGACAAGCCCGTGACCAGGCTTGCGGCAGATGACGCTCCAGTCCCCCCAGACAGCAGGCCAGGACACGCCCGACGGGGAGCCACCTGGCACCTCAACGGGCGGCGGACACCTGCGGAGCGCACAGCCCGTCCCCCGCACCCCAGGCACACGTCCAGACCTCACCCCACGATCCAGCGCTGGGCCAGCAGGGAAGGTGCACAGCCGCAGTCCCAACCACACTGACCAGCGGTCCCCTGGCTGCCAGGCGTCCCCAGCCCGGCGCGGACCCCTGCTGGCCTCCTCACACTGCCCAGCAGACTGTGTGGGGCCCGGGCCCAGACAGTGGCAGATGACCACTTCCTCCTGCGATCCCAGGAGCCACTGGGGCCTGTGGGCCTGGAGCAGGAGGCGAGTCTGTCCAGTGCGGAAAACTCGAAGGAACACGTTAGAACCAGCTCATCTTCCTCACACACTCCTGGGAACGGCCTCAGTGTCCTTGGGACTTGGGCAAAGGACACACCTTCAGCCAGTCTCTGCTGGAGATGGCACTGAGAAGACCCTCTGCCCGACAGGCGTCCGATGTCCCAACGCTGGTATGAGCGTCAGCATCAACGCAGCGTAGAAGAACCGTGCTCACTGATGGGGAACCTTCCTGGTCACAAAACCCGTACACCCTAGACACCAAACTCACAGGCTCTGGCATGTGACTCATAATGAGAGATGTGTGTCTGGTCTCTGTCCCCCCTCTGGCACAGAGCCCTAGAACCCTCAGACTTCCCTGTGACGGCAGCAACTAAGGTGCTCCTGTTCCGTGAGAAGGGCCAGGGCCAGGAGAACCAGCCCCGGCCTCCGAGGGCGGGAGAGGCCAGTGGGCTAATCGATTGTGCCCGTGTCCTGGGGCTGCCAAAAACCCCGAGGGGGGCTTCTAAGAGCTTCTGGGTTGGGGAACACGGGAGATTTGGGGACAGTGGCGCCTTTGAGGGAGTGGAGCCCCTCCTTCCGCAGCCACCCGGGCCTGTGCTTCTCTGCATTCTGAGTGCTGCTCTGGCAAAGTACCACATCTGGGGGGGCTGATTTATAGCACAGGTGACAAGCTGGACTTGTGACTGGTGTCTGAAGGGGTGGGAAGGGGAGACCTGCGGGGTTAGGGGGTGTCTGGGTGGTGATGAAGCACCACTGTCCCCAGGCCAGAACTGGCGCCCAAACCCTTTTCCGGCTCCATCCTGAGCCGCTGCAGCGCGTTCGGTCCCTCTGGCCTAGTGACAGCAGGGGCTGCCCGCGGCCCTGGGCTGAGTGCGCGCTGCGGGACCGGCCTGCTTACCTCTTGGTGTTGTAGGCCGTGTCCTGAGGCGTCTCCTCCAGCAGAGTCACGTAGCCAAGCACGCAGGTGAGGATGAAGAGCACGGTCAGGGTGTGTGCACGCCTGAAAGCCAAACACAGACTGCGTCAGAGCATGGGGACCGCGCCTGTGACACGCAACCTCCAACTGAGAAAGCAGGACCGAGTGTCCCTAGCTGGGGAGACCCCACACCCGGGCGGAGGGACACTCGGCACACGGGCGCACTCAAGTCCCGGCTCAGAGGACAGGAGGGTCCCTGAACGGCGTCCGGAGCAGCATGTGCTGTGGGGCTGTGGGTAACGCGGCCCCTCTCACTGAGCAGGTCATGCTGATGACCATCCTTGCAAGTCACACATGACCACCTGAGATTCACAAGATGACAGCCCAAAAAACAAGGGAGGGCGGTAAGGGACACCAGGACCCCAAGCAGGAAGGGTGGACCCCCCCAGTGTTCACTCGGGAGAGCTGGCAGATGCCAAGGGGGTGTGGGCTCTGGTCCTGCCCCCCCGCCCCAGCTTGGCCTTCAGAGCCTGCTGTGGGGGGAGAGGCAGGCTCACCTGGAAAGGGCCACAAGCAGCCAGGCCCCAGGGGACTGCGGGCACAGAGCCGACCCTGGGAGGAGCCTGCAGTGGCCCATGTCAGCCACTGGCCTGAGCCCTCTGCACAGGGCGTCACAGGCCCAGCTCCCAGGAGCCAAAGAGCAGTGCAGGTCCTTGTAGAGACGGCGGAATCATCACGCCCTGGGTGTCCCCATCTCCAGGAGATGCTTCCGAGATCGAAGGGTCCCACATCCAGCAAAAACATCCTCCAGAGCTAACAGTTCTTGCAGGGAGGGTGACAGCAGGACCTGGGACTGGGGCCAGCTCACCAGCCCGAAGAAACTGCTGGGTTTTTTGGTTTTTTGTTTTAATCCTCACCCGAGGACATTTTTGCATGTATCTTCAGATAGAGCGGGAGGAAGAGAGACAGAGAAACATCGATGTGAAAGGGACACATCGAGTGGCTGCCACCCACACGATCCAACCAGGGCCGGGGACAAACTGCAACCAAGGTACATGCCCTTAGCGGGAACCGAACCTGGGTCTCTCTGGACCGCAGGCCGACGCTCTCACAGCTGAGCCAAACCGGCCAGGGCCGTTTGGAGGTTTTTAATAGAGATGGTGGGATTCAAGCAGGGCCCTGAAGAGAGCAGACAACGGACGGAGCAGCTCCTTGGCTGGGCCTGAGGACGGACCACCTGCCTTGGCACCCGGGCGAGCAGCCGCGTGGCCTTTAGGCCAGTGCGGGAACCCTGACTGGCCCTGCGACCTGACGTGGCCAGTCGGAGGCTTAGGGACGTTCCTGGAGCCCCAGAGGGCACTCCAAACACCAGACAGAACACAAGAAGGTGGCTAAAGCAGAACACGAGCAAACAGGAAGGCTGGGAAGGGGACGGGGAGAGCAGGGCCGCCTGAGTGCAGGCGTGTCAGAACTACACGGAATGACCCAGAACAACTCGGAGAGCTGCTCACGGGGTACCGTTCAGCAGGAGTGGAGGTGCATCAGCTGCGGGGTCTCGGATCTCGGATGAGGGGACCGAGGCCTGAGCACTTGGAGGGAGGGAGCGGCCTGCACTGTGGGGAGGTGGGGACAGAAGCCGCACTGGGAGTCAGCGTCGTCATCGTGTGGTAACTTAGGGATACGCAGACTCCCCAAAGTCATGGAACCACCACTGTGGGTGCAAGGCCAGGCTCCAGGGCAGTGTACTGGCAGGGCCCAGGGCCCAAGCAGAAAAGTCCCACAGGCCTTCAAGAGGCCGTCTTCAGAGACCAGGACAAGAAGGAGACCAGGGAGCAGGACCCCTCGGGCCCAGAGTGCATCTGGCAGGAGGCACCCACCAGGGACCCTGCCACCAAGAGCCACCCAGCCAGGAGAGTTCTCACACTGGGCATGTGTCTGCCAAACACAGGCCAGTGCGGCTCAGGGCCAGCCCTCCGCAGGGGGCTTCGGCCACCCCTACAGGACCTCAGAGGCACTGGCACCCCCTGCAGGTGTCCCACAGGACGGCAGCTCTGCAGCCCACAAGCCAAAGTACATGGTGAATGTCTGTCCTGTGTCTTTAATGTTACTTTCCACAAACAGTGGTTTTCTGGTTGTTTCTTGGGGCCCAGACGATGGCCCGGGCAGCTCTGGCCACGCACCTTTCCATTCCCCTCAGAACACAAGGGTTACCTGGAAAACAAAGCCAACCCTTCGCCCGAGATACGTGTTCACACTGCCATTCAGGCGGCCAGTGCCCGGCCTGGGGAAGCAGAGAAAGAGCGGGCGGACCTGGCCCGTCCCGCCGAGGCACGGAGGCACAGAGGACCCAGGAGCCGGACGAAGGCCGGGGAGAACAGCCAGCCCAGTGGTGCTGGAGCCATGGCGAAGTCACCGCTGACCAGGCTCCCCCTCTGCCCTGCAGGGGAGACCGTCTGGGAGACAACATTTGCATGTCATCTTATAGGGTGAGTGGCTAATACCCAAAATATATAAAGAACTCATACAACTCAACAGCAAAAGAAACGCAAACCAATCATATTAAAAAACGGGCAAGAGCTGAACAGTTTTCCAAGACGACAGAGACAGCCCACACACACACGAAAAGAGGCTCATCATTACTAGTCATCAGAGATGCAAATTAACACCACAGTGAGCTCTCCCCTCACACCTGCCAGATGGCTGCCATCAATAACTCGACAAACAGGTGCTGGAGAGGCTAGGGTGAAAAGGGGACCCTTGTGCACTGTTGGGGGGGTTGTCCATTGGTGCAGCCACTGTGGAGAACAGTGTGGAGGTTTCTCAAAAAAATTAAAAACGGAACTGCTACCCGGCCGGTGTGGCTCAGTGGATTGAGCGCAGTCCCGTGGACTGAGAGGTCCCGGTTCGATTCCCGGTCAGGGCACATGCCTGGGTTGTGCGCTCGATCCTCAGTAGGGGGCGTGCAGGAGGCAGCCGACTGATGTTTCTCTCTCTCTCTCTCTCTAAAGAATCAATACAAACATTAAACATTTTGTAAAAAAGGGCTCTGGCCAGTGTGGCTCAGCAGTCAGAGCATTGACCTGCAGACTAAAGAGTTGTGGGTTCGATTCCAGTCAAGAGCATGTACCTCGGTTGTGGTTCAATCCCTGGCCCTGGCTGGGGTCGTGCAGGAGGCAGCCAACCGATGTGTCTTTCTCACATTGATGTTTCTCTCTCTCTCTGCCCTCCTCATAGTGTCTGGAAATCAGTGGAAAAAATATCCTTGGGTGAGCATTAAAAAAAAAAGGAACTACCTATGACCCAGTAACTCCACTTCTGGGTATTTATCTGAAGAAAACAAAAACACAAACTTGAAGATATGCGTGTACCTACATGTTCCTTGCAGCATTCCTGACAGGAGCCTATCAGCGCCCGCCCTCAGATGACCGGATAAGAAGACACGCAGTGTGTGTGACCTCGACAACGTGGATGGACCTCGAGGGCCTTGTGCTAAGTGAGCCGAGTCAGTGAGAGAGAGACGGGCACTTACACGTGGACTCTAACACACCCAGACACAGACTCACAGATACAGAGGGAAACTGGTGGTTGCCTGAGGCAGGGGGAGAAATAGGTGAAGGTGAAAAGGTAAATAAATAAAGTTGTTTTCCTGATTAAAAAAAACATTCTTATTTATTATTTTTTCTTTACTGGTTTTAGAGAGAGAGGGAGATAGAAACATGGATGAGAGAGCATCGATTGGCCGCCTCCTGTAGGCCCCCCACGGGGGATCGGGCCCACAACCTGGGCATGTGCCCTGACCAGGAATCAAACCGGCGACCTCTTGGTGCAGGGTCGACGCTCAACCACTGAGCCACACCGCCGGGCTGTTTCCCCATCTTTATTTATTTATTTTTTATCCTCACCGGAGGACATTTTTCCATTTTTTGTTCAGATAGAGCGGGGGGGGAAGGGACACATCGAGTGGCTGCCACCCACACAACCCAACCAGAGCCGGGGACAAACTGCAACTGAGGAACATGCCCTTAGCGGGAACCAAACCCGGGTCTCTCTGGACCGCAGGCAGGCCAGGGCTATTTCCCCATCTTTAAAACGAGCACAGAAGTACTAACTTGCAAGTGTGTTTACACAAAAATGCCCCCTCGCCTCGCGCACAGCCCCTTTCTACTCGTGTGGAAAGAACAGGGGACGCGGAGGAGACTGCGCAGACCTGCTGCTGCTTCTCCCGGGGCCAGGAGGACCAGTGCACCCTTTGGCTTGGTGGCTGATGGGTAACTCCGGGGAAGGTCTGGGTCCTGTGACCCAGGCACAGGCGGGCAGTGGCTATAAATCCCGTGACTTCAGAAGCTGGCAAGGGTGAGGGCGTGAGGACAGCTGGCTCCCTGCCACGAGAGTGGAAAATACCTCGTTGTCAGTCACTCCTAGACATGGCCACACTTGCTGTGCCGAGTGGGCAGGAAGGCAGGCTGCCAACCCTATTAGAGAAAACACGAGGTGTGGCCGGGGCACAGTGCACAACAACGCACCAGCCAGGAGAGGCCTGGCGCAGGCTGCAAGGGGTGTTGGGGCAGTGACACTGACCACATGACCAAAAAGGCAATGGCTGGGGAGTCATGCTTCCCATGGTTTGTGGGCGAAGCCAGCAAACCCTTCAATCGGTGCCTGAGAAAGGCATGCTCTGGACCCCGCATCTGCAGCACCCCGACAGCCTGCCAACTCCTGTGAGACGTGCTGCAGGTGGGCGAGGCCCGAGAGCGCTCACCGCAGGCCAGAGTGAGGCCAGGCGCAAGGCGGGCACTCCCAACACCACACAGCCACACACCCAGCCGGGGAAGTGTGGGTGGCCGTTCAAGCTACAGGTGGCGCATCACTGGCACCTCACCAGGGCGTCAGGGCCCAAAGCATCCCCCAAACAAGTGTTACACGTGAACACACACATCTTTGCATGGTCTTCTGTGTCTGTGGATGCTGGATGCTCCCACTCGAGACCACCGCAATTAGCAGAAGCAGCACCTTGAACCCCTGTGGTCTTCAAACTCCCTCCCATGGGCCCACACCTGTGACTGACAACTAGTAACAGAGAAACCCCAAATCCTGGTGCATGGCCTCCACATCACCATCATGGGCCCCAAAGAAGCCCAACCTTCCTTGAAAAGGAAAACTTTAAAAGCAAGGTTTTGAGCCCTGGCCAGTTTGGCTCATCAGGTCTCAGGTTTGATTCCTGGTCAAGGGCACATACCTGGGGTGCAGGTTTGATCCCTGGCCCAGATTGGGGTCGTGTAGGAGGCAGCCAATCAATGCGTCTCACTTTGATGCCCCCTCCCCCCCTATCTAAAGGAAAAAAAAAAATCCCTCAGGTGAAGCTTAAAAAATAAAAAAGCAAGGTTTTGAACCACACAAAAGTTTCTGTGGGTGATTTTCAGACATAAAGTCATTTCCACAAATACGTAGTTTTAGCCTTTAACTTTTTGGTACACTAATTATTAAAATTCCCTAATAAACTAAGTTTTAAAAATCCTAGCGCAGCAAGTTCGTGAGGGGACACCCAGAAGAAGGGACAAGGAAGTGGTTCCTCCAGGCAGGCACCTGGTAGGGCACTCAGGTGAGGGAGACAAGCCCACATGTAGCAAGAAGCTGCTGGTCACCAGTGGGCGCTAGGACCACCCACCTGTAAGGCAGGTCCCTGAAACCCACCAGCCCTGTGCACCCCTTACAGAAAGCCTTCCTGGCCCCGTGGCCCTCCTCACAGGCAGGCTCCGCTGAAATCTGTGCCCCACTTCCGAATGACAAGCGCCAGGGGGACCCTGGTTTTCGGCCCCTGGTGGGCTGTGCCTCGCGAGTCCTAGGCTTGTGGCACAAGCCTCCAGATTAGCTCTGGAACAGTCGCTGGCACCCAGTGGGGCCCAGCCTCTGGCTCCAGAACCTCAGTCTCCAGGGGTCACCAGCTGGTCCGTGAGACGGTGATGTCCTCCCTCAGGACAGCTGGACAGGCTCGATCTCCACGCAGCACGGCCGGCAGGACCCGGCAGTCGGGCCACTGGCTCCGGGCCACGCCCCTGCGGACAGGCACCCCACGCCTCTCCCTCCTGCGGCTCCTGCCCCCCAGCACATTATCTCCCCACGGCAGGGCTGGGTGGACACCCCTATCGCAGCTGCCAGCACCCACAGGAGAGACGCCAACCCCGGCCTTCCCGCGCCTCTCCCGAGTCTGCCCCAAACGGACCCGCGTCCCCAGCGCCCGCTCGGGCGGGGGCCAGCAGCCCGTCTTTCGGCCGGCGGGGCCGGGGCCGGGGCCGGGCGGCTCTCCCGCGCACCGTGCGGGCCTGGCCCCGGGCACGGGGAGCCGCGCACCCCAGGAGGGTGACGGCCAGGCCAAGGTCACCGAGCCCGCGGCGGAGGCGCCCCGCACGGCCGGGCCGCGGCTGCGCTCCGGGACCCTCCCCGCCCGCCGCCTGGGGGCGCGCGGCCCCCGCGACCCCGGCCCCCGCCCCCCGCCCCCGAGGCAGACGGGCCGCCCGCCCGGAGCCGGGCTGGGATCGGGACCCGCGCCGCAGGGGCCGGACGGGACGCGGGCCGGCTCCGACAGGGCAGGCGACCGCTGTCTCCGGGGCGCGCTCCGGGGGCGCGGACGCGGCGACCCCGCGGCCGCCCCCAGCCCCCGGGTGGCCACGCCCCCGGCCCGGCGCCCGCCCTCACCAGAAGAAGGTGTTGGTGCCGTCGTCGTAGACCTCGGACTCGGTGCTGCGGCGGCCCCCGGGCGCGCCCTCCGGCGGCTCCTCCAGCGCGGCCTTGCCGGCGGGCACCGGGGACCCCGGCCGCGGCCCCCCGGCGCCCCTGCGCTCGCCCCTCCGCATGGCGCCGCCCGAGCGCTCCGCCCCGCGCCCTGACCTCACGCGCGCCGGGTCACCGCGAGCGCGCCGCGCACGGCGCACGGAGCGCCGGGAAGGGTCGCCGCGCCCGCCGGCGGGGTCTCGGCGAGCAGGGGCGGGGGCGGCCGCGAGCGGGCGGGGCGTTGTGGGACGTGTAGTCCGCGCCCTGGCCGCGGGGCATGCCGGGCCTCGTAGGCGCCGCGCGCTCGGCGAGCGGGGCCGGCTGGGAGGACGCCGCCCGGTTGCTAGGTAACCGCAGCGGGCGCGCGGGGCGGGGTGCGGTCGCCGGGAGCCGCGGGACCGGGGCCACCGCGCCCTGCCCTCGGGGCGGCCTGGGGGCGCCTTCCGGCGGCCACCGCGCTGCCGCTGCGACGGGCCAGAAGCTGCCGGGGCTCCGGACGGCAGCCTGCAGGGTCGTCGGGCGGCGATCGTTCTGTCGCGGCATCTCGCGGACTTGGAAGAAAGGGGACGTGCTGGTTTGGGGTGACTCGTTTGTGTTTTGTTTTCTAATTTTTTTTTCTTTATTGATTTTTAGAGAGAGGGGAAGGGAGAGGGAGAGAGAGAGAAACGTGGATGAGAGAGAACATCGATGGGCCGCCTCCTGCGATGTCCTCCCTCTGGGGACTTGGCCCACAACCTGGGCACGTGCCCTGACCGGACCCTGACCGGACCGGGATCGCACCTGCGACCTCCTGGGGCGTGGGCCGAGGCTCAACCACTGAGCCCCACCGCCCGGCCGGGTGACTCAATTTGATCATACACACCGGCCCTGCAAAAACACGTAGCTTTGAGCCACTTTGAGAAACAGCTCTACTCAGTTAAACGCAGTTAACATGGAACCAGCAACTCCCCTCCTAGGTATTACCCGAGAGAAGTGAAAACGTGCCCACAAAACTCGCACCGAGACCTTCATGGCAGTGTTGACCTTAAACATAAAACAGCCCGTTATTCACCAGCAGAGTGGACGGATTCAGGAATAGCTGAGAACTGCAATTCGGGACGATATGCTAGAGCAGAAACGATCGGCAAGCAAAGGAGAAGGTGGTTACTTTCTGGAGAAAAAGGACGCTGTGAATGAAAAGTCCATTGGAGGAAAGGGATGGTTCAGGTGCTGATGGTTGCTCCTTGGTCAGCTTGCCGCGGTTTCCCATTGACCGGGTTTGTTGGAGGAGGAGAAAACCTTCCTCCCTCACCCTGGGGTAGTAGAGACACATCTTGCTGGGAATGCAGGGTGTCTGGTCCTGTTGGGTCTGCAATTGAACGTCTTCCAGTTGGGGTGTAGTTGACCTGGAACTGTGTGTGAGGGCTCCCTCTTCAAGCTCATTTAAATGAGCTTTCTTTTATTCATTTTCACAGAGGTATTATTCATAATTGCCAAAAACGGGGGTGTGTGTGGGGGGGCAGGTAAAGTCCATCAACTGAATGGAACAGAAAATATTTCTGTCTATACCATGGAAGTTTATTTGACCATGAAAAAGAATGCAGTTGTGACCCGCACTACAACGTTGGGGAGCCTTGAGAACATTATGCTAAGTGGAAGAAGCCAGTCACAAAAGCCTACAGAGTATATGATCTATTTATATGAAATGTCCAGAATAGGTAAACCCTTGGAGACAGAAAATAGATTAGTGGTCACCGGGGGCTGGGGAAGGGAAATAGAGAGTGGCTGCTGAAGGGGACTGGGTTCCTTTTCAGGGCCATGAGAATGTTCTAAAGTGGGCTGTGCTGATTGATGGTGGCACATACCTGTGACTATACTGGAAACTAATGAACTGGCCCTGACCAGTGTGGCTCAGTTGGTTGGGAGCCCTGTGCACCAAAAGATTGCTGGTTTTATTCCCAGTCAGGGTCCATGCCCAGGTTTCCGGCTCCATCCCCAGTAGGGGGGCGTGCAGGAGGTAGCTGATGGATGTTTCTCCCTCACATGGATGTTTCTCTCCCTCTCCCTTCCTCTCTTTCTCAAGATCAATGAAAATATAACACACACACTAATGAACTATATGTCCTAAATGGGTGGATTGTATGGTATGTGAATTACATATCAATAAAGCTGTTAAAGCTCTGGCCAGTTTGGCTCAGCGGTTAGAGCGTCGGCCTGCGGTCCGGAGAGACCCGGGTTCGGTTCCCGCTAAGGGCACGTACTTCGGTTGCAGTTTGTCCCCGGCCCTGGTTGGTCGTGCGGGTGGCAGCCACTCGATGTGTCCCTTTCACATCGATGTTTCTCTCTCTCTCTCCCTTCCTCTCTCTCCCTCCCACTCTATCTGTACAAAAAATGGAAAAATATCCTCGGGTGAGGATAAAAAAATAAAAATAAAGCTGTTAAAACATACATGTGAAAGAATGTTTGGGGGCTCCTTCCGCATGCAGCCGGGCCTGCCAAGCATGGGGTCTGGCTGTGATGGGGCCTGAGTCTCAGCCCCTGCCCACTGTGTGGAGCCCCCCAACAGGGTGGAGACCAACAGGCTGTCAGGAAACGCTGGTTCCAGGAGGTGTGCTGTGGGGCGTTCCAGGGCCTGCTGCTGCCCTCTGCCTGCCCTTGGGCCCATTCCCTGCCCCAGGCTTCAGCCTCATCCACCTAGGCTGCCACGGTGGCCAGCGTGGCCCGGCCGTCAGCTTCTCTGTGGCCAGTCTCGAGTGCGTGTGTGCAAAGGAGTGGAGGTGAGGCTGGAGGGAACAGACAGGGTGGACTTCGGTCTCTGTCCTGAAGGCCACAGGGAGTCATGATGAAGTTGGCGTCACCGCTGCACTGTAGGGGAACCAGGACACGCATGCCCACGGCACTGGCCTTGCACAAACTGACGCGTTGGGACCCACTTTGCCCCGGGGAAGTGAGACTGGACCCATGACCAGGAAGTGTCCAAGGCAAGCCAGCTCCCGCTCACCCCATCTTTCCAGCAAGTACCCCACAGGCCCGAAGCCACCCTTCAGGGACCCTCTTCTCCCACTCCAGCGGGTGGTGCTCAGGTTCCGGGCGCAGTCTTGGTGCTGTTGGGATCCATTCCTGGGTATGTATCTTTCTGCAAAACTGCACCCAGAGCCCTCTTCCCGAGGCAGAGCGGAGCCACCGCGACCCCTCCAGGGTACAGAGGCCGGCCAGGGCCACGTACCGGCCCCCCTGGGGTGTCTGGCGTGCCTGGGGTTCCGGTCCAGTCGTCCCAGCCTGGGCTGGACCGGTATGAGCGGGGCTGGAGAGAAACCGGGCGTGAACGGGACGTGGGCGGGGCCACAGGAGGGCGGGAGGGGCGAACCCTGGTCCGGGAGGGTTGCCCTCTGCCCTCCGCGCACAGACCACGTGTGAGTTAATGGCCTTTGAGCTCTGGCCCTGTGCCTACGAGAGTTCCCAAGGCGCTACAAATGCCAGTCATTATGATCTTCACACCCCCTTAGATTCTGTTTTCATCGAGAGAGGGAGAACCGAAGCACTGGAAGATGGGTGACCCTCCGCGCCCGGTTCCTTCTCCCCGCCCCTGGAACCTTGCCCCTGAATCCCTTGCACCCCACAGTGAGCCCTCCGCCTGCAGCTTTGCATCTGGGGCCTGCTCTCTGCGTCTCCCCTCCGCCAGGCCCCTGTCCTGACCACTACCCCTCACCCTGGCTGCAGCCCTGCTCACCCCTCCCCTTCAGACACGCGTGGCCGGCAGCAGGATTCCAGGGGGGGGCATCTAGGATGCCAGTCATTTGTGGCTCCGGTGGCTTGGTGGCCCGGTGGCCGGTGAGAGGAGTGAGCAGAGTGCTTTGAGGACGTGGTCCAGCGGTGCCCGTGACCTGCGGGGCTTCCACACGGCAGGACGCAGGGGTCCCCGCCTGGGGGAGGGTGCAGAGGCCCTCACCGTCCTCTGCAGCCGGATGCTCGCCAGAAGCCCCAGGGCGCCAGAGCCAGGCAAGGGCTTTAGAGGTGTCCAGTGCTGGCCTTACTTAGGGACAGCTGGATCAAGCTCGTGGGGACACCGCCTGGCCTCAGATCCCCAGGTTTCCCTAGGCAGGCGGCACAGTTCATGGTGATCAACGGTGAACGTATTGGCGACGAGGCTTTTAAAAGTATCCTGGAGAGGACTCTGCAGACTTGTGAAGGAACAGTGACTATTTCCATGGGTGTGGTGAGTCTGTAAAGGTGAGTGGATTACAAAAACCCCCGCCCACCACATGCATACCTGCCGCCTGAGTGCTTCAAGGTTGATGGAGAGATTGGGACAGCCGGGAACCAGCTGAGACAACTCTCTCTCCCCAAGACCGAAAACAGGAGCTGGGAGCGTTTAAGGTTGGAGGGAGCAGGAGGGAGACAGAGTTTGTCTGGAATGAGGACATCAGGGGCCCGGGTACCCACCCTGATGCCACCCTGGCATGACAGGCAAGACCTAGCTTCTGCCCCACCTGAGCAGCAGGGGCCCAGCTTGGGAGAGGGGTCTCCCCTGCAGGGGCCTGCAGCCCAAGAGGTGGGGGTGGGGTGCCTTGGACTAGCCCAGAGAGGACTCAGGAAGCCCCAACAACAGCTGACCCCCTGTGCTGCCTCTGACAAGCATCCTTGGTGACACATCAGAGTGTCTTTGGGCCACATGCAGGCCATTGGAGTTGGGAGGACAGAGGCTTCCTGCCTCTGGCACTCCGAGAGGCTTTGTCATCCTGATCTTCTCTGGGGGGGTGGCCGCCACCCCCCGTAAAAAGGGTCTGAGGTGCCCTAGAGAAGTGGGGATGGTGCTTGCCTCCTGCTGTCCTCAGTTCCCCAGAGAGAAGACCCACAGATGGGCAGGGCTGTCTGGAGTCTGGAGGAGGAAGGGGAGGGGAGCAGGGTCCAGGGTCCACGGGGAAGAGCTGGAGGCCCACATGGGCCTGGACCGAAGTTCTCTGCCAACGGCCAGGGTGTCTGGGGCCACACTGCCTTTGAGGGGCTGGTCCACTGCACCTTCCGCAAGACACACTCGGGACCAAGGCAGAGTAAGGCTGACTGGGGGAAATGAAGTTCATAACAGACTGTAGGATGATGATGCCGTAAATCTAATAATAAAGCTCTCTGTGAAAAAAGCGAACTAAAGGAAGGAAAGCATAATTCCGCCCCATCCGCAGTTCGCATCGGGAAGCAAAGATAAACATCCAACATTAACGTCTGCTCTTCCAGTGTGTCAATGCGTGTCAGTGTAGGTGAG